GAAGTAATTAGTTGCATGATCATACTATTCCAAACCACGGAGTAAAAACGAATTCTAGAATCCCTCTCAAGGATGTAGCTTTAGAAATAAAAGTAAAGTCCTTTGTCTCACTGACAGTCGTTCTTAACTAGCTTAGCCTCTCCATTTTACAGATGACGAATCATACTTCTGTCAGTTTACTGGCAAAGTTAGAGCAAAATACCAATTTCTAAACTCCCTAGACTTCACTCTGTTATAAAATGCAGAAATAATATTAACAGGGTTGTCATCCAAGAGACATAGACTTATGCATTAGGTGACAATTTGAAGGGATGATTAATCAATAGCATCCTTGGTCTATATTGCTCTTTGTGATACTAAATGGAAGATATTAGATACATTGTACATGACATTTACCTACGATATAAGTGAGAGACAAGGCAGATAGAGGTTTCTTGTTGTTTTAAAATTTTACCTAAGAATCTTATATTGAATTTGATACCTAAAGGGCAATGCTTTGAGATCTGAATATCAAAAATTGGAGGGGGACATGCATATATTCATGCAACTTAGGAAATGACAGTTAGTATTACAGCAAAAAAGAATTTATGTAGGCACTGTAGCTTTTGAGAAAATTAAGTCAAGCACTGAAATCACCACGTGGGAAAGTTTCATTAAGATGATATAGGTTTACAATATATAAAGCACATTTGAAAATGGAAGTCCTGAGCAGGGTCAGGGCAAAGGCATGTGGCATGAAAACTGTACTCTGCCAGCAAATTAATTAAATTTCACAGCTCCAGAAAGACCATATATTCTGTGTCGGCACTCACTGAGAGTTAGATGTGCAGGGCCTCTGAGAGTGTGTTGTAATCTGCTCATAAATAGAACTCACCAAGGGACATTGACAGCAATTTGGCATTAAGCAAGAGTATGCATAAGTGAAGAATTTACTTGGTGGTAGCTTTTATTAGTACAGCTCTGACAGCACATGCCTTACCCAGTTTTTTTTATTCTTATTTTGCTCTGGTTTGACCTCTGTGAAACTTATTGTTACAGATGATCTCATATTATCAGTTAGGTCAATAATTTGAACTCAAGAGAATCTTTCCTTTTTCTATACTGGCATTATTATTAACTTAATAACAGTATATTTTCTAATACTGAATTTGCTTGTCCTTTGGTAAAGACTCACTATAATGAAGATTAAGGTCTTCGAAAACTGCTTTTTGTATCTAAACTTAAATCTATTTTATACCCGTATTTATTCTAGTTATATACTGTCTAAAGTTAAGACCCACATCCTTATATAAAATCTATCCAAAGTCTTGAATTGTTCTGAACTGTTTCTTTTTCAAGACTGAAGAGATATCAGTGTAATTTTTAGACTCTTCAAACAGATTAAATAGGAGTGTAAAAATGGATGACCCATAATGAATTTCTTGTTTTATGAAAAAAACTGTTCTGATACAATGGAGAAAATTATAATAACTAGAACAGAAAAAGAATTTGCAACCAAGTAATGGAAAAATTAAATGGCTTTGCTATAAACCAGGGAAGAATATACAGAGACACATAAACATTTAGACATGTTGACATAGTATCAGTCTGAATTTAAATCTGAAAATACTTTCATTGGAAAGAAATATCATTTTAGCTTTCCTTTTGCCAAAGGAAGTACTGACAAACAGATGCAAGTTAAAGGAAAGTAGATTTCTGTTCAGCCTTACAGTGGGGTGGGGTGGCAAGAAGGGACTGAGAGAGGGAGTGAAGTGAGAAAGGACGGAGAAAAAAAGTGGAGAACTAAATTATACTAGAGTGTGCCACCTTTACATTCGGTGTCGTGGAGATTTCTCATGCACATAGGCCAAAGTCTTCCAGGTGGATATGGAGTATGCATGCATTATTTAACATTGCATATTTCAAACATTGATCTATTTTATCCACTTTTAAAATTCCGTGAGCAATAAGACAAAAACATAAAAGATCACGTATCCTATACAACAGCCAGTCAAGATAAAGAAAAAGCACACCAACTGATATATTCATCTCTAGATCTGAACTGATGAGCTCATTCATTTTGGACTTCTTGGCAGAATGTGGTCAGGTGGGATATCTTGACTTAGACCTTACTTTTCTGTTAAGTTCTATTTCAACTGTTCTCTTGGAAACTACCTCTTCTTTGAAAATATATAGCTCAAAATTAATGCATTTGGTCCCATCACACACTGAGAAGTACTGCTGCCACAAAAGTACATATTAAGGAATACGATATACTTAAATTAATGCATCTTAGGATGCTCAGGAATTTATCCCAGCCATATTAGCATAAAGGCTTTTTAATAGAGGAAGCACCAATTCATAATGTTCTTTATTCTCCTCACATTGATTTTTACTGCACAGTATTGTTGCATATTATTTTAAAGTTTGTTCAGTATAAATTTTCCAGCAACATTTCCCCCATTTTAAAAGTTATTTTAAATTTAATAACTTTTTTAACTCTCTGATTCTTCCTACCCAAGAAATTTTTCTCGGCTTGCTTGGACATCTGAATCTAAATTTTAGGTCTATTCTGTTCTTAAAAGAGATACATCCATAAATTTACTTTTAAACTGCTGATTTGCATTTTCTTGAATTTCATATAATGTGAAATGTAATGTTTGTGATTTACACTTTTCAAATTTATTAAATACCTTTTTTGAACTTTTTTCATACTTAGGAAATAAGAATGCTGGTTTCTTTTCCATTACTATATTAGGCAAATTTTGTGGAAATGAATAATCATTGTGAAAATTTTATATGCTTTAAAATATTATAGATTTTAAATCTGAAGGAATATATGAATGATTCCTCTGAGGAAAACATATCGAATAAACTCAGAAATTAATAATACTCCAAAGCCACAAGCTATAAAAAAATACAAAAGGAGCAGTAATATATAGAAATAGAAATGTGAGTATAAAATCTCATCTTTATGTGAGGGTGGAAATGACTGCTCTGTAAACATTCACTCAACATGCATACTAAAGATGCATACATCAAGAGCTATCTGTGTGAAGCTCTGTCCTCTATAAATTGAGTTCACCGAGAATGAGTATCTACATGGCAAGGGGTCAATCAGTCCCTACACAAGGTCCATCTCACTCAAGAAAATACTGAGTGACCTTTCTATGTTAGACATCACCAGTACTCTGGGATCATACCTATTACATACAGATCAACAGTTTTTGAAGTAATACATTGATGGAGATAAATTTGTAAGAAAATAGAGGCCAAAATTCTGACAGAGGAACCTCTAAATTGGCTGTAACTGCATGTTTTTCAAGCAGTCATAGCACTCACTCCAGCTACACAAAGACCTGTGGCCATGAACAACTCAATCTGTTGGGTCAAGTGTGATAGCAAGAGAATTGGTTGTATTCAAGCCCAAACCATTAAACATTAAATAAATAAATAAATAAATAAATAAATAAATAAATAAAAGCATTGGTGAGAGGTCTTCTGAAAGTTAAGCAAGCAGTGATCATTTGATAGGAAGCTGTGTGTTACTAATTAAAGATTAATCACCTTGTCTGAGATTCATTGCCTTTTCAGGTTTGATGACATTTTAACATACTTAGAACAATTCTTAAAACAATTTTTTATTGTCTTTGAACTGCAGCTAAACACACATAAGTAAAATTGATTGTTCTGTTAGCATGCATCTGCTCTAAGGACTGCACATACAGTTCTCCCACACAACCACACTTAACAGGCACACTCAGTTTTGTTTAAACACATCTGCCAACAGCCTTCCTAGCCCAAAGGCAGTGTTGTATTCACATGTCTCAAAGAGCCAGAGAAAGTCACAGGACAAAATGAAGAGCCTTAGGATCTCTGTAGCAAGTCCCTGCAGGAGCCACAAAAACTAGTTCCACCAGTGGAAGAGGAAATCAAGAGGACGGGTGCTGCCCTTGGATGACTATGAATTTATGTTTTATTAGTCATGACTCTGCTAGATTATGCCCCGAGGGTCGAGTTCCTTGCAAAACGTAATAGTCTGAATTAAAGGGTATCTTGGGATAGCTTGAACACAACAGTCTCTTCGATCTTCCTCAAAGGCCACCAGATGAGTTGACAAAACAAAAGTTTTCCAAGAGTAATTACCATGCATTGTGTTTAACATCAGATTGTCAGTTTGGATATAAATCCAGATATATGTGAACTGGCTTACATCTAAGTTTTTATAACTCAGTGAGAGAGATTGCAAAATATATCATTTTGTACCACGCTTCTAAGGGAGAAAAGAAAAGTAAATTCTGAATTAAAATCCACAAGGAATTTTTATTTTATGATCACTGTCCCCATTCCTGGTCTCCCTCCCACAGTCCCTTTCCCCATGCCCCCGTCCCATTCTCCTGTGAGAGGGTGGGGAGGTTCCTCCTGAGTCGCTACCCACTCAGGCACATCAAGTCTCTGTAAGGTTAGTCACTTCCTCTCCCACTGAGACCACACAAGGCAGCCCAGCTAGAAAACCATATTGCACAGACAGACAACCGCTTTTGGGATCTCCCCTACTCCAGTTGTTTGGGACACTCATGAAGACTGAACTTCACATATGCTACACATGTATATGTGGGGGAGAGGGGGCGCTAGGTCCAGTTCATGTATGCTCCTTGGTTGGTGGTTCAGTCTCTGAGAGCTCTTTTTAAATATATTGTATCAATAAGTATTTATAGAATGCTGAAAGTGACATACTGATAAATACAAGTTGACTTCTCCTCAATTGGTTGGACATAACACCTTTTTGAGAACAGTATCAGTAATTTTTCGATATGCTGCATTCAAGGGACAAAGTTCTACAAACTGGAGGATTACAAGATTGCAATATGCCACATGTGGGAAATGTAGAAAAATTGGTTCCAACAATCCTTTTGTACTTTCAAGATCTGTGGAGTGGATAATCCTGTACTCTATGTGTAAAAGCGATAGCTAGACCAGCAGTGGAAAGCTCATAGAGGGGCAGCTGAGGACCGCCATACCTGTTGATTAATGGAGAGGCCTTAACAGCACTCTTCTTCCATGCGTCTTGCCATGAGGAAAGGGAAGGAGGGGAAAGGTAGTGATGGCAGCAACACCTGGGGAAGGGAGATGGTGAAATATGTAAGGGGAAAATGAGCAGCTGCTGCACCACGGTGTCCATCCAGACTGTGTCAACAAAACCATGTCCAAAGTGTAGTTTTTTCTTTCTTTAAGATATAAATCTAAAAATAATGTAAATAAACTAGGCTCTCTCTCTCTCTCTCTCTCTCTCTCTCTCTCTCTCTCTCTCTCTCTCTCTCTCTCTCTCTCT